TTTTGTTAGGATTGGGCCGAATGCATCCTTGCTTAGGATCGAGTTGAATGCATCCTTGTTCAATGTGGACTTGTGTTGCCCTAGTTTTCTAGGTTAATTTTATGCTTAGTATTTAAACATCTATATGTATCTTCTTTTTTAAATCACACATTTAAGGCTCCTAACATAACTAGTATATTAGGATTTGAACCCATGACCTCTTATTGTAAGAAACCACTACCACTAGGTTACAAGCTCTTTGGTATATGTATCTTGTTCAATGTGGACTCATGTTGCCTTATGGTTTCCTTAGTTTTCTAGGTTAAGTTTATGGGAGAAATGCATTGTATCCTTCACTTGATCGATCGGGATGTTGTTATCGATCAATTGCATTAAATCTTGTACGTGCTTAGGCTTATTTATCCTTATTTGCTGATCTAATAGAGTTTTTGACTCATGCCAAAATCAATGAAGGCTTGGTTACTTTTGTTATTGTAAGTGTCAACTTAACTATATATAATCTAGGTTATCTATCTTCGGGTTTATGTGGAAGAAATTTTACATTGCTTATGATTGTTATTAGGGTTTTTTTGTTGGTTTAATTGAGTTGATTCTTGATTTCTAAGTGTTTGATTGAATTCGGTTAAAGCTTGTTTCTTTGAGGGTTGTTTTCAGTTTCTATCTTGCACTAGAGTTTTGTTTATTTATTGATTTTTGACTTGTATGATACTCATGGCTTGTGGATTTTTGTTTAGTGCAATTTTGTTGATTGTGTATTGTAGCATGATTGGATTTTGTGGGTTGTTGGTTTCGGCTTACATTGACCTTCATAGAATTGGTGTTAGGTGAAGTTAACATTTTTCATTAAGTGGTCTTAACAAAAATCTTAATGGATGAAAAATCAAAATAGTTTTGAGAGTTAAAAAAAAAATTGATTACAAAATTAATACTAAAAAAAAAAAAAAACAACAAAACACAATATGAGCTCAAACATAATTGATAAAAATAATTCCAAAATAGTACTATAAACAAACGTATTAAATTTGAAATGCTACGGTTTCGGCTTAAAAACCAAATGACGGATCCATCATTCGGTTAATGTTTATCTCTGTTTCAAGCAATATATGGAAATTTATGTTCCCTTATCAAGTCCAAATTGACACTACAAGAATCATGCTCTTAATTAATCGATCAGTTCACTTCTTATATATATTAACTAAATAAACTAAAACAAAACATTAGTTTACTATTCCAAATATTTTTCATACACTAATATTTCACTATTTATTGGTTTTTTTACACTTTGGTCTTTAATCTTTGCCAATGAATCTTTCGGTCCACATCTTCATTTGCTCATCCATTTTGGTCCCCGGATGAGAGAAGGAAAGAGAGAGAGAGACGGGAGGAGAGAGATAGATCGTCGGCCAAGCTTATTTAGGCCACTTTGATCGGCGAAAATTCACTAGATTTTTCTATCTTTGAAAGATGAGTTTATCCATGGTTGTTTTCAAGCCATGAAACAATTAGAGGAGGTAGATCGAAGCCAAAAAAGGAAACAATGTTCTAATTTCATTGTGTTTTTTTTTTTGTATTAAAATGATTTTTAAGGTTTTAGATATGTTTATTGGCTTTATTCCGATCATTTAGAGGCGTTTGAGAGAAAAAAAATGATGTTGGAATTCAATTTCTAGGGGTCCGAAACTTGATCTTCGATTTTTCGACGAAGATTCCGGTGGCCTCCATTCGTCGAAAGTTGCGGACTATTTTTTTTTTTTTGAGTAGCGGCCTAAGCTCGACACGCGGGCTCGAGCCGCCGAGCTAGGCTTGGCACGCGAGCTTTTTTTTTCTTCTTCTTTTTTTTTCCTCCCGTTTCGACTTAGGAAATTGACTTTTATTTTGGTCCCTTCTTTATATTTTTTTTATTTTGGTCCTTAACCTTTTCTTATCATTGATTTTTATCCCTTTCGTAAATATTAAAATTTTATTATATGTGATTTTTATTCTTATAATAATTTTTTTTTAACTATGAATAAAAATTTATGCTTTTTTTTGTTTTTATTTTTTGATATGTTTTTATTTTAATCATTAAAGTTTTCTTATATTTGATTTTTATCCTTGTTATACTGAAACTAAATAAAGTTTACTATCCTAAGTTTTTTTTTTTCTTTTACTGAAATTTTCTTTCTATTCTAATTTCTGTTTTGTGATTTTTTGTTTGTTTTCATCTCTAAATTTAGTAGAATTTTTTTTAGTCTTTTTTTTGTAATTGTTTTTTATTTTGATCATGAAATTTTTTCCCTACAAGGAACAATTTTTTACTTTTAGTAAAACTTTTTGTTATATTTTGGTTTTGTTTTATGATCTTTCATTTATTTTGATCATTAAACTTTTATTATATTTAATTATTATTCACTCTACATTAAAATTAAATACATTTTAACTATGCTAAGTTTTTTTTTTTTTTAGTAAAAAAATTTTCTGTTTTGATTCTTATTTTATTAATTTTTTATTTTGGTCATTAAAATTCTATAATGTTTACTTTTGTTCTTGCCTTATGCATAATGAAATTTTTTTAGTCTTATTGTTTATAAGTATTTTTTGTATGCTTTTAGTGAAATTTTTTTTATTTATTTTTATCGTTTTTATGATTTTTACTCTGTTTTAATCATTTAATTTTTATCGTGTATAATTTTATCTCTATTTTCTTTGCCAAATTATCAATTTGACAAAGTTTTCTTATCTTTTTGTTTTGAGTTCTTATCTTTTTGTTTTGAGTGGTCTCTCTACATGTCTCATTAACAAATTAAAGATGAATAATATATGGTATAAATTAATCATCGAAAATTTAAAAAACTACTAGATTATTACTTTAATGATTAGTTATTAATAAAATACATATTTATATCAAACAATATCTAATTACCAACATTATATTACTCAACTTTGCAGATTTTTCATTTAGCTAACCTTGCGGTAAATTATGAAATATATGTTTTAATGTTTTTTTTAATTATTTTTACATGATATTGTTAAATAATGATTTGTAAATGTTAAATTTTATATGAATGAATGCATAAAAATGTTATATAACTCACGCTGCGCATGGGATATATGCTAGTAACTTCAAAACAAAATTCATGAAACTCTACAATAATGTATGTGAAATTATGAAAATTTGCCTACTATTTTGTCGAGATTATCAAGAAAAATAAATAATTTACAGGACTCGATGAGGGATTTATTTTTATAGTAACTAAAAGTGAAATAGTACATCAGTAAATCAAACACCTATTAAATCCACTATGGCTTACTAAACCTAATAATATTAGTGCAATCTGAATATGTTAAACTGCGTATTCTAAATTATATTATTTGACTATGGTTAAAATATTCAAACAATGCATGATCTATTTTAAAGAAAAATCCTAAATAGTGCATTGAGAAAAGAGATTTTAAGTTTTTATATAGACTTGTTAATAGAGAAACTAGAAACATGAGATTCTAAGAATTAAAAGGATATATAGGAATACCGAAAATAAAAACCTCAAGGACGGGCAATAAACAAAAGCTTTAAAGAAGACTTCTCTCATGCTTTGGATTTACATAAATGTTATCTTTAATATTAATTTAAGGGTGAAATCTACCAAGTCCAAGTTAAAGCTGTACTCGAAAATCAAGACAGATCCTTCCTTTCAAGATGCATCTCTCCAGAAAAGTCTTCTTCTTCTCTAGAGGGCAAAAAGGAAAAGAAAAATACTGCCTTTAGATTTTACATGTTAACTCCCTCCCTCCCTCTCCCTCCCTCTTTTTCTGTCCACTTGTGTCCGGCATTTATGTATATATGAGCTGCATGGACGAGGAAAATAGAAAGAAGGAAAGCAAACATTCAATATGAAAAATGATCAATATGTATTGTGTGTATATGTAGATACAGAATAATTGCCACATATATATATATATATATAAAACTATAGTTATCTAGTTGTTTCTAAATTTGCAAAACAGCATAACAAAACTTTGTCACGTTAATTACAACTCGGGGAGTGCACATTATGAATGATTAGGTTATTAAGCTAGATGAAGACTTAGAAAATTAAGAAGGAAAAAGAAAGCATTATATTACACAACCTAATCTGTTTGTAAACATTAATGCACCACATGGAACTATTAATAAAAGGAACATGATTTTCAATATAAAACAAAAGTAGTCCATTACTCAGTAGATTATATAGAAGAATAGTATTTAACAAGGGCGCTGCTGTCTTTAAAGAAAAATTACAATACAAAAGTCAAGATCATGGATGGAATTAGCACACCAAATTCCCATAAAATCTTTATAGCTACCTCTTTTTTGTCTCCTACTGATAAAAAAAACAAAGAAGACTTTGCATGATTACTCACATAATAATCCTTCCAAAAGAAAATGACAAGCTTAAACATGCTTAGGCTTCATTAATCAAAAACAATTTAACTAACATTAATTATCCTGCAGGCCTAGAGCTGAGCCCCTTTTCAATTAGTGCATGATATTGCTACAAATCTTTCATACAGGAAAAAGCACCGATATTTCCATTAGTTCTCAATGTGCAAACAAAATTTTCAACAAAAAGGAGGAAAAAAAGATGACAAAGGGAAAAAAAACTGCAGAAACAGAAACATTAAAAAGGAAAATAATTTATAAGTCAAGTTGCTACTCATATCCCATGAAGGTGATATATCCATGCCTGTAAAAAAAAAAAAAAGAACAATTCTTTTAACTAGCCCTTTTGCTTTCTACAAGAAAGAGTAATCTAGGCTTTCTACTGCCAACACACTACATTACCCTATTGGTGAAAGGGTACCAAACCAGATTAGTAAAGAACCGGCCATCCATAAATGCAATGAGTATTTTTTTCAGACAAACACGTGCACAGACATAAACAGCTAACAAAGAACTAAATACATCTAGTAAGGGAAGAAACCATACCTAGATTGGAAAATTGGCTTAAGAAACTAGAAAGGTACTACGTGTTGCGAAAACTTCAACAAGATGGACCAACACTCCTACCCTCCTCACTTTCAGCTTTTAGACGCTGATGGATTTGTTGTGATTGCTGTTGTCGCTGTGGCTGTGATTGTTGCTGAAGCAAAAGCTGTGCCTGAAGCTGATTGGGATGGGGCTCTCCTTGTGGTTGAATCTGGAAAGTGTTGTCAAAAGTGCCTAGAGCCAAAGAAGGTGACATAGCAGCGGCACCAGCAGGATTGATCTGATTATACCCGGTAGCAGCAACTGAATTAGCTGGCTCAAATCCACCATTAAATCTCACAATTTCTTGCTGTTGCTGCTGCGTCTGATGCTGTTGCTCATATGCCCTTAACATCTCTTGCTCTCTTGCAGCCACCACAGCAGCCAATTGTTGAGCCTCATAGATTTGCTGAGGATGGACATGATGGTGTTGATGTTGATGAGCCTCTGCACGCATCCCCATTTGTCCAACAGAAGGAATACCCATCATGGGCATCACATTATGTTGCATCACAGTTGAAGAAGAAGGATTACACATATGTTGTGGCTGCATCACCATGGGTAGCATTGCTTGAGGCCCTACATAATTAGCTAATTCTTTCTTAGCACTATAAAGATCACTCTGGAGTTGCTTCAGTCTATGTTGAAGGATTGAAATTAGCCCCACGCAGCCATAAACCGGATCACGGAGCCTTTCCTCAGCTTCATAGGCAAGTGAATTCACAGCATCTTCTCGTTGCACAGTGTTGAGCTCGTTGAGTAATTTAGCTACATTACTAGCCCCAAATACTTTGTGCACGCTAGCAAATTTTTGAGGCTGATCCGGTGGAAAATACGGTGCAAAAACACATTCTTGTGTACATTTTCGTCTTAAAAACTTGCATGCCGCACATGGAGAGTTTGAAGAAGACATTTTTCCCTTCCTTTAACAAGGACAATCAAAACCCATTAAAGAAAACAAGTTAAAATCACTAGGTAATAAAGGAAAGGTTTTATTAAGGCATGGAAATCCGGGAAACACGAATATAAAGGTGAAGAGATTCAGAGAAGCTTCGTTTACCAATATAAGGAAATAAATAATAATATTTGTCATTTATATGGAGACATGATGAGTCAAAAACGATATAGATAATCAAACGGTAACTTATAATGAAAGAAAAAGAAACTGTGACAATGAAGATACTAAAATGAAACTGAATCATCTGTTAACCGATGGGCTAATAATATTTCACCAAGCCTAGCTAGAGAGAGAGGGAGAGGGAGAGAGTGAAACAGAAAACAGAAATCTAATAACAAAAGGGTGTCATTTATTTATTAATAGGAAACGGTAAATAAATAAGAGACCAAGGCCAATGAGTCTCCTGCAAGCTCGTGCCTCTTTAAAACTGATTTCTTTCTATGAGTTTTGAATGTGGGTGTCTTTCATACTTCATTGACACCTTGAAATGCAAGAAACCATGAGGTGTATGGATCCTTCAAGATCTTAATTTTTTTCCCTCTCAAAACAGAAGGTAAAAAAAAAAAAAAAAAAAAACACCTTCCTTGTTCTTGTTTTCTCTCAGAACTAAATCAAAAGAAATCTTTTCATCTCCATATCCAAAGAGATATTGAGATCTTTTTAATGTCAAACAAAAGCGCAAACTTTAATAAAACACTCAAATAAACAACCTTCTGAAAAAACAAAAACATGGAAAGGCAAAGACCACCTAAGTTTACCTTTGATTTTCAGAGATCAGTCACTCTCCTTGTGTGTCTTTAAAAGGTCCATGTTAAACCTGCAATGAAAACAATACTTTTAAGGACATGAAAAACGACAGACTGTTTGTAACATAAACTGTATTAAACATGGTAGAGAGAGAGAGAGAGAGACCATTTAAAGAGACAAAGAGAGAGAGAAAGATTTAAGGTGTGTAGGGTCACCAAAATGAGATAACTATCGATCCGATCTTTGAGTTTCAAAATCCCAACAGACAAGAAAGAGAAGAATGTGTGAAAAGGAAAATGCAAAACTCTTTCTTTCTGAAAAGAAGAGAGATTGCGAAAAATGAAAAAACAGAAATGATAGAAGGGGAGATGAGAGGTTGCGTTATGGCATGGAATGAGTCATTTTCACATGAGGTGAAATTTCTGTCATTGGTTTTTTTAGAGAAAGTTGAAGAGGTTGAATCATAGCTGTCTGATCAAAACTTTGGTATCATGTGCGTGTGAGGGAGAGGTGGAGAGGTCCTTTTATTCTGACCAAAAATTTAATGATTCACTGAGTTACCTCTTTGTCCCTCTGCTATCTGCCCGTATTCCCAAATTTGCCCTTCTTTTTGCTAGATTAGAGTTTCATTTTTTATTTTTTTGATTTAATGCCTTTGTTGTCAAGATTTGAGACCTTGAAAGCCTACCTAATTAATCACCATTAGAGTGTATCTTATATTCTCTTCTTTTTGGTAAGAACGGGTTGTTAAAACATTTAAGATTATGTCAATTTAGATCCAGTCAATCATATCTTAGAATGTTAATTTGAAGGGATTCTATTGTGATTTGCATGTGTATTTATGGTATTAGATTAGATTTATAGAACTACTTTTCGTTAAACCCTTTCAAATTCTAAAGTTTACGTTACTGATTATACCTTATGCGTGCTAATTAGTTTGATTACCTTTAGTTAAACAAATCTAATTTCATCAAATTAAAAAATAAATGAATTGGATCCATTAATGTTTCCTTAAAAATCCAAAACACATTAGTTTTATTTAAACAAATCGAAAAAAAAAAAGAATCGGATCAATTGATGTCTCGTGAAAAAAATCCAAATCTTGCTTGTTATTTTCAAAGTATTATATTGTGATTAATTTATTGTTCAAAAATTATATGGAAATAATAATCTCTCATAAAATTTTAGAGAAGGGATTGAGGATTAAAAATAAAGTATTCGAGATTTTGTTCGACAAATGCATAATCCAATATTAATATTGGTAACCTAGTCAGACAAAATTCACCACCTAACCCCATAATGATCATGGTTTTTAAAATATCTAACTAATGAGAAATTTTAAAATAATCATTTAATAACTAATAATATACTTACCGTATGAATCTATTTTGGTAAAAAAAAAAAAAAAGGGATAAACACAAAGAACAGGAAAAATAGATAGAAAATCATAAATTCAAAAATAATAAGAATATTTTCATCTAAATTCAATTTTTTTATTCTCTCTCTTTATTTGTTTTTATCTCTCTCATATAGTGTAAGTTGTTATAATATCTACTAATTTAGATCAACATTCACGAATACTAGTACATCATAAATTCATAAAAATATTGAGTTCAAATCATGTTTAATTTGTTACCTTGGGGGAAAAAAACACTAACTCAAAAGGGTTGCTTTGATGGTAGGGTTGTCAACAGGTCATATTTGAATCGAATTATAATAGATTCAAATTCAATTTGTTTAATATATAAATCAAATCAGATCTTATAAATTAATATTTGAGTTTTGTAATTGTAGATCCGAATCTTAATATGTGCGAGTTGAATTCAAATATCCAACAAATTTATCATTTAATTTTTGTTCGAAAGAAAAAATATTGATTACATATAAGATTATATTTCAATATAAAGTGCGTTTCAACTATTGCATGTATAAGAAAAATGATAATATTTAATATCTCAATTTAAAAAAAAATCCAAATATCTCATATTAAAAAAAATTATATCAACGGCTAAAATTAATTTAAATCAGGCAAGAAGTATGACACAAAGTTAAAGAAAATAATTAAAGTACCTACTTTAGGTGCAATTGACTGGTATGAAAGAAAATCATAGTGTTTTACTAATAACAAGTTTGAAATGAATAAATATTCAAATTGAATCAAAATTTTATAAATTAAAAACACAAATATATTACCAGCAATAACTCATTGATTGATTTATTTATTTCATATATTTACATGATTTTTTTCACAAAATTAATTTGAGAATTGAAAAACGATGAAAAAAAATTTCTCATATAATTGCTCGAAAGAATAATCGTCAATATAGAAAAAAAAAACTATATAACATTTCTTAGCATGTAGAGTAAATAAATCATATATCTAAACCTAGTGTTTTTAAAATATTATATCCATTAGAAATAATATTGATATTAAATGATCAACTATATTCGTAATCGAACTTAAATCATAAAAAAAAAAATTTATAAATCTATTTAACTACATTCGATTCGAAGTAAAATTCGATCCATTAGATTCGGGTCAAGATTTCATCTATTGAGAAGCTTACTTGATGGCTAGAAGTCCACTCCCTTGACTTTCTTTGCTGAACTCTTGAGGCGAACACCCAAAAAAAATTTATTAAATTCATCTTAATGTATTTCATCGTCGATGTAAGAGAAATGCATTCTTAAAATCATTAAAAAAAAACTTTTAATCTTGATTAATGCATAAATTAATAAAATATTCTCATTATCGAATTAAAAAAATACTTATTAGTTTTTTTTTTAATGAATACTACACTTGTTCCTTGTTGGAAAGAAAAATTCTCCCTATGAAACAATTGGAAAACATTTTGGTAGTCGTTAGTGGACATGCATATTACATCATGACATTAAATATAAACAAGCGGGCTACTTTTGTAATTGCACTAATATTTGTTGTTCACTGTTCAGAATAAAAGTGTCCTTTATTATGCAGCACGTCCTTACTGTACCGACATGGAGGCTTGCATTGCCACCACACCACTATTCTGCTTCATGTACCTTTTTTTATTAATTAATAGTTGTCCGTATTATATAAGTCCAGTTGCCAAAAGAGGCGGTGATCATTTTATTTTAGTTATGCTAAATCTATCGTTTCTCAATTCGCTCGTTAATACACCCACCCTTTCTCCTTCCTATTTTTTAAACTACGTGCAAAGAATAATAATAATAATAAATATATAAGAGTGATTAATTGGAGGTGCATTTTTAAAGATCATTTGAATTGATAATTATAAATTAATTTAAAAATACATTTTATTTGTAGAATTAAAAAAAAAATTAGTAGAGAAGAGGAGTCGAACTAAAAAATTGCTAGAGAAAAGGAGTTAAACTAAAATATCCATAATATAGGATTAATTGCATAATTTGTTTTTTTTACTTTTAATATCTTAGATGCTTTTTTTTTTTTTTGGTTTTTCTACTCTAAATATTTTTTTAATGTAATTTTTGTATAAGATTCCGATGAATTTTCTATTTTCTATCAACAAATAATAGGTGAATTACCACATCAAATAATAGTTACAAGTGTAAAAAAATTAATTTCAAAACATATTTTTTCTATTTTTTCAATTCAATTTTTCTAATCTGTGTCACTATTCATATGATACTTGTTGTCGAAAAAATTACAGCAATCTCATAGAATGACTACATTAAGAAAATATTTAGAATAAAATAACTAAATTAACATATATAAAATAACATGTTAAGAAAAATATCAAAAGTATTATTTTTGAAAAAAAGAAGCTTTTAATCCATTTATCTAACCATCATAGTAAAAATGAGGGTTGTTGATTTTCCTGATTGAATTGAAGAGGAAGGAAAATTAACCGAGAAAGGTAAAGTGAGGAAGAGAGATAGAAGTTGGTAAATCTGCTTTACTTACTTAATTAAGATAGTTAGTCTATTGATTAAACCTATACCCAATAATAACCCTTGAACTAACTAGCAGATTAATAACAAAAAATTAACAGTTTAACCTTATAACAAACTAACAACCCAACAAACCAAAAAACTATACGTTATATACATTGAATCTAATAAGGGTGTAATTTGGTCATATTTTGTATGAGTTATAAGCAAGTTAATTCCTAACGAATATTAAAAATCAAACACGTAACCACTTGATAAATATATAAAAACAACACCCATTGGTTTTAACTCCATTGATTTAAAAAAAAAAAAAACATAGCGAGAGAGAGATGAACGCAATCATTTTTCCTCCTTTTATTTGCATCAGATGAAAATAGAGTGAAAGTAACAGTACAGGTTATTTTCTTGTATGGTAATAGTATTTTTTATTTGAGTTAGATGAAAATAGAGTGAAAACATTTTGAAAGATTAAAAAAAAAAAATTACCTGTCCTTATATTTTTTAGCTAGCATTTCTTAGAGAAGGTCCAATCACTATTATATTATTGGGAAATTATTATTATCATTATTGCCAAAAAGTAAATAAAATATATAAAATTAATTAAATTTAAATAAATCATGGTAACCACAGGACTATTCTCTTGTCAGCAATCCATACTGTCACATACGCATAATCCATCCTACCTTAATAAAGGACAGGACCACATCAATCTGCACCACTCACTGTCAAATCATTTCTGCCCCTAATCTAATTTACTTCACCCAATTAATCCACCACTATCCTTGAAAGCTAGGTGGGTAATTAGGTCCAAGGGCCATTACATTACATTTAAGGTTATCATTCTAAGTAGGTGGATATATATATAAAATCCAAAACTATTGGTGGAGTATAAAAAGTTTTAATCATTTTAAATAAATAATTTTTATTTTAAATTTTTGTATATATAAAATTTTTTTAAATAGTTATATTCATTTTATACGATCGATCAAACAATAAAAAATTAATCTGGATCTTTAGATTTGTGATATTTGAAAATATGTATATATAAATTTGTTTAAAATTCTATAGAATATAAATTTAATTTGGAGACATAAAGATATCATTAACGAAAAAAAAAAACTAATACTGGGTATTAATATGACTTAAATTAATTGCATAAGGATGACATCTGTGATTATGCTTTGGATGCAGCTCTCATCCATTTCATTTTGCGAGTTCATGTTGTTTTTAAAACTTAGGGTTCACACAAGTCAGCATGTGATATATATATATGATTTTTTGGGAACAGGATGCCACATGCAAGCTATTTTGTGGTGCTGAGTTGTCTTCATCCGCAGCTGTTTTTGACATAACTTGCTAAAAATTTTAGTACATACTCCTCCTTCCTTCATTAGGTCTACCATTGACATACTATATATATTTGTTAGTGTGATTTCTAATTAAACAATATTTTAGGTATGGAGGTAACTTTAAAGGTTGGTATATGAATACGGAGGTTTTTCCTTTATTGATTTTTTTAAGTTAGAATTTTAAAATCTATATTTACAAATATCTATTTCTTAAGTGAATAATTTAATCTATCTTTATATAATATTATAAATCTTTAATATGTTATTACGTTTCTAATTGCATTTATTATATTTTTTAATAATATTTAAGTCTTTAACTTATTTTTTTGATCAATTTTTTTTGACAATAGATAAATTTTTTCATCTAAATTTTCTTGACTCAATTGCAAAAATTAAAAATTATTTAAAATTACGTGATTTACATGCTTTATTTTTTTAAATCTTTAGATTTATTATTATTATCATCTGCATTTCAATCGAAGCATTTCTCTGTAGTTAAAAAAATATATGAAAAAGACGGATTAAATATTTAAATAATACTCAAAAAGATAATTAATGCAACTAGAAATATAAAGATAGGTTGGAGATTCAAACTATTACGTAAGAATGTGTTGAACTACATATCTTTATTTTTTATATAAAAATCTTTATGAAATCTCATATAATAATTTAAAATTTTGAATTAAAATAGTTTAATTTTTGACATTTATCTAATAGAATGATTGATTATTTGGTGAACTTATTGGAAACCTATGTTTTGCATACGTCTTCTAAATTAATTTAATAAGAAATACCATAATCCGAGCACCAGGATCAGTAAAAGAAAAAAAACAACAACAACGCGCAGAGAATGAAATTAGGCCAGGTTTGCAAGTAACACAGTTGTAAAGGGCAGAGGTACAGCGGGCATTGCTTATCTTTGACGGTAAGCGAGGAGGGATAGAGAGATCAGTACTGACGCCAAGCGAGCGTGTATATAGAGAGAGAGAGAGAGAGAGGGAGGGACAGAACGTTAAGAGTAAGCGAAAATGGCATTGGAGAAAAGGACAGACAGGACCCACAAAACTTTTTGAGGCTCTGACCCTCGGGGAACAAAAAGGTTGTACGATTTTAGGATATAAAATAAAGGAGATGTGGCCGATGTGGGTTCGTGCAACAAATTGTTGGCGTAGCTCGTGGTGCTGTGGTGAGACCACCACCCATGCTCTGCCGCATGCGACCACTGAAGTACTGAGCCAACATTGAGGGGGTTGCAGTGTGTTGGTGGGCAATTGCGTGCACAGAGCTTCATTCCATTAATTTGATTACTACCTTTCCTATTTATTTTTTGTCCCTTGCTCCTGTGTGGGACAAAATTTTTATGCGCAGATTGTTGGGTTGTGTTTGTCACCTTTTCCTCCCTTTGTCTTCATCACTAATTATCTTTGCTTTTATATATTTCGTGTTCTCTAATTAGCTAATGCAAGGATACCAACTCAATCCTTTTTTTCCCCCCAACGTACAAAACAAATCTAAAACTTAATTATCTTTTGCTTAGTTCACGTAAGTAAATTAAGTGCTAGCTATCAACATTCTTTAATTTAGAACCTTATCTTGAAGTATTTTCTCGTTCTATTAAACCAAATGGCTAGAGGCGATGCAATAAGGAGAGCCTATGAGGTAATATTGCTACAGTCGGTTGGCTATAGCTTTTTGTATCAATTCTCATTTGGTACGGTCAATGCCTTCTCAGATTTTAGCATTGCTGCATCCTAAGATAAAGTTCGTTTGTATATTTTTTTATTGCCAGTGGCGATTTCGAGGTTCTACATTTGACTTCAGACATTGAAGTTGAAATGAAAATTATATAGAATTAATTTAATTAGAAGTGGATTTTGTCTAGTTTATATAGCTGCTCAACTTAAGTGTTGTCGTAACGAATAATCAAGGAAAGGATTTTCCTGATTTTAAAATGGGAGTAATTAATTCAATAAAGATGACTTGCTGCTGAAAGAATTATAGTTGTTTAAACAAATAATCTCGATAAAAAATTCTTTAGATAAGCGTATGCATCTTGTACATCGATCGAATGACAAGATATTAGTCGACATTTGAGCTTGGGATACACTAAGGATCTAAACCAAATAAATAAATAAATAAATAAAGAGTAATTAAGAGAGGGAGACTTGTTTTATAACGTAGTTTAAAACCCGTATGGGCCACCCAATGAATGGTGGAAAGCATATCCATCTTTTCGCTAATTAGTGTGGCCATCCTATGTATATTTATATTCATGTCAATCTTCTTTTAAAATTATCTTTATTTGGTCCTTATGCTAATATCTATTAGAAATGATGTTGAAGCTTTTTCATTAAATTTAGCCTAATGTTCCGGAAAATCACGAACTATATAATTTTTAACGATTTTAGCTTGTTATTTAAAAAATAAATAGAAAAATCACCAACTAGTCTTCGATAATAATACTAGTGCGGATCCGATTTTTCAATCAAAATTTCAAGCAACATTGACATGATAAGTGACGAAGCATGACGGTTAGACTTAATGTTCATGTAGGATCCATATAAGCGAGTGATATAGAAAATCAATTACAAAGCTTGAAAGACATGTAATCCCCTTCTATACCTTAATTATAACAAAATCCCCAATCCTCAAGTCAAATTAACCCTAACCCTTTCAAATCCCTAATTCAAAAACATGTTCCTCATTTTAATTTTTTCAATACCTCATTCTTTCAAATTTTCTTCTTCTTTTCTTTCGTCTACCTTCATTTCTCTAGATTAATTATCCAAAGATCCTCCTTTCTTCCTCCTTCGTCTTCTCCTTCCTTCTTCCCAGAATCGTTTACCCACGGATCCTCCTTTCTTCCTTCTTCATCTTATCCTTCATTCTTCCTTTTTCGTCTTTTCCTTTCTTCTTTCCATAATCGAACCCACAAATCCTCTATTCTTCTTCCTTTATCGTCTCTTTCCTTTTTTATAGAATCGAACCGATAAATTCAAAAACCCTAACTCCTCGACCTTATCCCATATGTCATTCGCTTTCCATTTCAATTTTGTATAGCATACTATCTCTCTTCTTCTTCTTCTTTGCTGCCTTCGTATTCTCATAATCGATCGAATCTATAGACCATTATTTTCTTTATCTCAAACGAACCTAAAATACCACCATCTTTCTTATTCTTCCTTAGCCTTCTCATTGCTTTTCATTCCCCAAACCAACGAGACCCTCCAACCCCATTCTCTCATTTTGTCGCAAAGCAATTGCCATATTTCTATAATTGAAAACCCAAAGCCAATTAAAAACACAAACCTTTAAACCCCGAAAGATGAACACCGTAAGCAAATCCTCTAAAAATCCTAATCCCCTAATTCAAAATCCCAAATCGCTATCTATCCAATATCCCCCCTCATGTTTATTCCAAAAATATTTAAATCTACAACCCAAACTGACCAATTATTCATATGGTAACTAAAATATCTACGGATAGTAGCTTCGATGTGGATAAAGCTTCAAAAATATCTTTTTCGAGTTTCAAGATGCCTTTATGCAAGTCCAAGATAGAGACAACCATATATATATTTCACGAACAAAACCAAACCTAAGGAAGAAGTTCCTTTGCCACTTATATTGGAAGGCATTGTTTTTTGAAAATGAAAATTTTGTCACTACCCATATTAGAAGGTATTGTTTTTTGAAATCTCATTTAATATTTCATGTTGATAATTATGGATATTGGAAGTGAATTGAAGAAGGAAGCAACGACTTTAGAGTTAGGAAGGTAGTGGTAATTGACATTGAAGGGTTAAAAAAAGAATGAAGTTAGTAGAAATACTTAAAAAAGAGAATTCTAGTTTAATTGGAATTGAAACAAAAAAAAAAAAAAAACAAAGAAAGAAAGAAAGAAAGAAAGAGTTGATTAAAGAAATGGATAAGGGTTTACAATGATAAGATTAAATAAATCCACACAAGTTACAGACTCATATTCCTAGAAGGACAAGGCTGCCACCTATCTATGGGGGAGAGAGAGAGAGAGAGAGAGAGAGAGAGAGAGAGAGAGAGAGAGAGAGAGAGAGAGATGCTATACACACATAATTTACAATAGTGAAAAGTGTATCTCTCCTAATTAAGAAAAAGGTAAAAGTTGCTCCAATAAAAAGGCAAAAGTTATTGCAACTTTTTCTCTAATAATTACTCAACTCTTGAGTGATTTTTGAGTGAAAATTATACATAGAAGGAAGAAAAGGTTGAAGCTAGCACTCTACCATTTTTGTCACTTCTTGTATGGTGTTTAAGTCTGTATGATCATCAATATAGATCAGACACTTGGATAGTTTTTTTCATAAATTGACTTCTATACTATAAGAGGTAATTCCTAACCATCTTGTTATTAATATAGTTAGTTGATTTTATAGTTGATCTTAAAAATTTTAGATGGTCTTGAAAATTTTAGATGGAGGAGATAAATTTTATTTATTTATTTCTCACCTTCATAAGATATATGATCCATCAATTGATATCAAAGCCCCGGAGTTGAATATTTAATTTTATTGATGTTAATTTTGATTAACTATACAAATTATTGATTTATGTTAATAAATCTATTGATTTTGCACCTCCATAGGATGCTCGCATCTAATCGTATGCAAACAAAATTAAGTTTCAATTAGACTAGTTTAATTAATGCAAGGCATGCCAACCAAGGGTAGTATAACCTAGTCTTTGCAACAATCTGATCTTAAGGTTTTCTATGATTATCGTCAGTTGTTTTATATGTTTATTTGTGCCCATGAGTGAACATATTTCATGCAAAAAGACTTTGCAGTAAAGTAACATTATCCGTACTCCATGAAATCAAGAAGACGAAATACTACTCAAAATTAATATTAATAGTTTCTATTTTAGTGAACAAGTTTTTTTTTTTAATTAGAATCCATTATTATTTTTATAATCTATACTTAAATCTTGTGAAAATTGTAATGGCCTTTTTTTTATTCAATATTAATGACTTCTATATATTAAAAAAAAGTAACATTTTCCATAATGCCTTATTATACAATTATCAACGTAACTAATCACATTAACTAGTGTGATATGAACTCTATTACTATAACTAAATAGTGCATTGGAATAAATTTAATATGGTCTACATAAACGTATATTTTATAGGATTATTTTTATGATGTATATGCATGGTTGCTAAGTACAAGCTAGCTAGAGATAGAATAATTGTGGTGACCACACGATCGATAATGATCACAATTAGGCCATTTCATGCAAATCACTCATTTTTTTCTCATCCATGTTTACTTACTTTATTGATACTGAGTCCTTGCTTTCCTTTTTTCTCATTATTTGGCTTCCGCTGTTGGCTATTGACTTTCAAATGCTGTTCAAAAAAGTAATTTTTATTTTTAATGAATAAAAGCAGGCAACAGATGCTGGTAGAGAGATTCAAAAAAATTGGCCTAGCTATCCCATGCCCATATACTTTTCTTAGTTAATATTTTCGTTGGTCATCCTGTTCATGTCTCTCCACGTTGTGGTTGACCTGTTAACTTCAAAAACATGAATACCATTGCCACCTGATCATCACCGGTTGGGCTACTGCATGCAAATCACCATTTTGTCTCATTCAATTTTTATTTTATTGGTATTTTCAATTCTCTATTCTTCTTCTCTTTTCGATTCCTTTTCTACTGTTGACTTTTGATGGGTTGGTATAGACCTATAAAGTTTATCACATGCATGGATTTGACATAACATGGAAAGCTCAACTACTTTCCCTTTTTTTCCACAAATTATTGCATTGGCATCAGCATCACCATGTTTCCTTCTGGTTTATTCTCTATATTTGGAAGTGTCCCCATGGCTTTTAAGGTAGCTAGTGCCTAGTGATGAGTGGTGGTAATAGCCAATTTGCATCGCCAATGACTATTTGCACCGCAGTACGAAGTATGAACAGGTTATGAGATGATACAAAGTTTGTGGATCTTGTGCTTGTCCTCAATAGGCTGCGTGCTGCAGCAATTGTGGAAAACTTATGAATCAGACAAAAAGCAGGTTTCTAACTAACAGGAAATTCTAGTTACAGAAAACTTACTCTATTTGATGCATAGTAGGTAGGTAAAAGTGAAGCTGACTCCGAAAGGTTTCTTCCAAAAGTGAGCTTCAACAATTTCAAACAACAAGAGTAAGCATGTCCGGTCTTCGTACAAATTTTCTCTCACAATATAAAATTGATAGTAGTTGAATCTTATCATACTCATTTTGAATAAAATTAATTCTAATTTTAATATGAAATAAGAATATCTGAAAAAATAAAAAAAACTGGATTTGTTTGTATTTTTCTAAGGGAAGATTTTCTTCTTGCTTTTCTTTTCAATGAATAATTTATTACGGACCTACTCACATTAGATGCATTGTTTGATTTTTTTTTCCTTAAAAAAAAAAACTTACACTTTTTTGTTCATGAGGAGGTCAAAAAAAATCTTGAAATACAGTGGATATAACGCTCTTACGTTAAATTACAACTAAAAGAATGCTATATATATATATATATATATATCGAAGAAGCTGATGATTAGGCAACCATCAATAAATTTTACAGGTAAAAAAGAGAAAAATAAATAAATAATTTTTCACCACATTTTGAAAAAATAATCAATGAAATTCACTCTCTAATCAAAGGAAAAACTAAGCTTTGTAAAGGAAGGAGAGTTAAGTGGAAAACACTTTTCATGAAGAATTCAAAAACTAAATTGATACATCTTTTCATTTTTCTTCTATATATAATCGTCAATATATTAATAAAATACTTTAAAATACAATATTATCATAAATAATAAATTACAAATACGTATGGATGTAAATAACATTTTAAAAAATTAATATATGATGATTGACCAATAAATAACAAATAAAAATTATATTAATTTAATATATATTATTATATATAATGCGCAACATGTTATATTCCTTAATAATAATACATATGATATCATACAAATTTTCTTACAAAAATCGACATTGTACACCAAACGCTAGAAAATGAGTGGTAATATTATTTTAAAAAAATTCTACTATTTTAAGAGAGTTAACTCCAAAATATTATTTTTAACTAATTTTCTGCTATATGGTCAAACATAAAAACTACTACCAACTCATTTTTCATGATAAAACCAAATATAAAAAAATTATCTATCTTTTTCATAAATTATTTTCCACAAAATTCACTGTTCAACAAACAAACGAGGCGTATAAAGGCATTGCTTTACGTATCGAGCAAAGGTGAGATTACAAAATTATCAATTTACTTACATTGGGCTACTAGAACGTTTTTCTGTGATGGGCTTGAAGCAAGCCCTAACGATAGAGAAAATAACTATATTGACTTCAATTCAGACAGTGATGAACCTGGGATTCATTATCACAACTGGTAAGTAACAATTGTCTTTTAAAGGCAGCTCCTAAAAATATACTTTTTTTGGTTTTAGTACAGCATAATAATCCCTTGAAAACAAAATAATAGTAATAATCTAACGAACACTACAACGTAGGATTGATTTTAGGTTATAAAAGACACTTTCAAAAGAGAATTATAGTTTGTGGTCATGTATATACGTTTCTCCTTACCAAGCACACCAAAAAGCTTTGTTTCAGAGGTTTTGTAAAAGAAATTCCAGGCTAAAAATGCCATCCATCATCTAGTGTTTGTGCAATCACTGAAGCTTTTGAAACCATTCAACAACATCTGATCATTTACATATTCCACACTTGCATTATAATCTCAACAACTGCAAAGGAAAATTAAATCTATGCTGAAAAGTCAAATTTACGTCCTCCATTAATATCCCCAAAAGTCTTCTTCATCAGAAACAAAAAGGAACAAAATATTCTGAGCTCCTCATGCACCAGACGTGAATCTCTCCGGACTCTGTGTGCTTGAGCTGCATAAAGGGGAAAATTAATTAGGAAATGTCAATCTGATAACAAATTTATGTAGCTGTGAAGATCCTGCTACATGAACTTTGACTTATTGGCATGCATCAAGACATAACCCTTTTCTAGTCTATAAAAGATTCATGAGGTAGAAGAAATCTTTTCACTGAAAGCAGGCTTTTAATACAGTAGTCAAGATTGTTGAGTTAATACAAACAAATCGATCTCTCTGCACTAATTATATTCCTCACCAGAAAGAATAGGAGAAGAAACTCATTTTTGGTCAGTTGGTCACTTCCAAACTTCCAGGTATATGTTTAATCAACAGTTTTGACATTCATGCATTAAACTTCTATTTAATCAATCAGAAAAATCATTACACATTGAGCAAACAATTTTTCATGGACAGAAACAAACTGGAAATATCAGAGATGGAAGACTGATTAGTGATCAGCTAATGCAAGTAATTGATCTAAGCAACTATATCATACAATTGGTGATATATGAGTACACATAGTAAAACATGCATCAAATTATGGAATCCACACCATATACAAATTATGCTAAGAAGAATAAACACAAATGCTGGGTGCATTAACTCCTAATCAATGACAAATTAACAAAAGGAAACCACAAACAAGACTCGAAGAAAGTAAACAGGAAAGGGAAATAACTTCAGGGAACTAACGAGAACCAAGAAACGTCCAACTTACACTAATATCTCCTCTCGTTTGCGTTTTCTGCTGTCCCTTTCGTGACTGGAGTTGATATAGATACAATGATTCACTGGTGATTGATCAATTTGAGAAGATCTGCCATCCGTTTTATTCAATCCGTGATCCAAAGGCAGCGGGTCTCTTTTACCTTTAAAATCTTGCTGACGCGGCTTCTGTTGTTGTAGGTCAGGAGGTGGCCCTTTTTTCCGTAATGGTATCGCAGTAGGAATACCATGATTATGTAATGTAGCCACTGCAGTTGTAACCTCCTGATCAATTCCAGGTTGATCCCATCTCACTGCTGCATATGGACCAAATGTCAAGATTGGTGGACTTGGAATCAAAGAATAAGGATTCAACTGCTGTTGCAGCTTAACTGGTGGGATATATGTAGGAAGTCCTGCGTCTTCTTCACCAATATAACTTGAAAGTTCCTTCTTGGCATTAAAAAGTTGTTCACTAACTTCAAGAAGTCGTTGTTGAAGGATGGAGACGTAACCAGCAGCACCATAAACAGCATCATTAAGACGAGCCTCAGCCTCATAAACAAGAGATTTCAGTATGTCTTCAAGGATCTTGGGGTCTTCTTGCTTCTTGAGAATTTTTTCCACGCCTTTTTCACCATATACTTGTCGAAGAACTGAGAATTCTTGAGACTTCCCTGGCGGGAAATAAGGTGCAAAAATGCAATCTTTATTGCATTCTTGATTAAGATTCTTGCAAGCTCCACATTGTGGATGATTGGTCAGTCTAATTGGTGGAATATATGTAGGAAGCCCTGTGTCGTCACCAATATAACTTGCAAGTTCCTTCTTGGCATTAAAAAGTAGTTTACCAGCTTCGTCAAGTCGTTTATTTAGGGCGGAGACAAGACCAGCAGAACCAAAAAGAGGATCATTAAGACGAGCCTTGGCCTCAATAAGAAGAGATTTCAGTATGGTTTCACGTATCTTGGGGTCTTCTTGCTTCTTGAGAAGTTCTGCCACCTCTTTTTCACCATATACTTGTAGAAGAAGTGAGAATTCTTGAGACTTCTCCGGTGGGAAATAAGGTGCAAAAATGCAATCTTTATTGCATTCTTGATTGGTAGGATTCTTGCAAGCTTCACACTGTGGATGATTGGTCATTTTCTCTGAAAATTAAGAAACGAAGTGAAGATCAATTCTTCAATGCGAAAATAACAATGAAGGATTGGAAAGATGAATTGCCTCGTTAGATATGTCTATTTATGGAAAATTCTTAATCTTGGAAGCAAGAGAAGAACTAAACAACTGAACGGAAAAATGAAGAAGAAAATGATGTTACAGAATGGCTTCGAGCTATTGAGAAAGGAGGAAACTGTAATTAACAGAAAGCAGTGCTGGAATATCATTCTTTTATGAGTAAATTACTAATCCAATTAACAAGAATTTTTTTATCAATGTATGATCTAATGGCAAGAAGAAATAAGGATGAGGTTCGGAATTCAGATGGTGAAATGAGGTTATATTAAAAAGATGCAGGGTCTATATTTATTAAAAAAATTAGTAAATAATTCATCAAAATATTTCATTTTAATCCTTATAATTTTTTTTAAAAACTATTTGGATCCTTAAAATTTTTTAATAAGCGCAATTAGCTGCACATGCCAATTCGGGAAATTAATTGGTACATTTTGCGAATGGATTTGAGCTGTATTTCTGTGTTCCTCTTGGGCCCTGGCTGATGAGCTCTGCAGGAACTTCAATGCCCAGGTTTGCATTTGGAGGCTTGGAATGCAATTAGCTATCACCCTTATTTAAAGCTTACGGGTCTCACATGTGTATTATTAAATTATTTTATAGTATTAAATTTTAATGATCGCAATTTGAGTATTTTGAATTATTTATAACTTAGCATTTATTAAATTGATTTTTTAAATCCGAATAGTTTTATATAAAGCTTGATAATTTATAATTAATTTTTGTTTGTTTGATTTTAAAACATATAAATAAATTTTAATTTGAAATAAAAAAATATTCACATAAACTAGTTAGTAGTTAGGATATTTACACACACACCTATGTTACATGCACGTGGGTGGCTATTTATAATTAGATCTCTTAAAAATAATAATCACAAAAAAATTTACACCAATTTATTTACAGTATGGTTAAAAAATGAAATATATATATTTTTAATCATATGTTGTTATAAAAAAAATTATTTACTTCTTGTAAAAATAGAAGAAATAAAAAGAGAGAGAGTCTTTTTGTAAGAACAGAAGAAATAAAAAGAGAAAGAGTTTCATTATTCATTATAATGTATGAGGATAGTTGTTTTAATTAAAAAATTGAAACATTATTATTTTTTCATTTCATTTTAAAATTTAAGTTAGTTTAAATTATACGATGAAAATGGTCAAATTATCAAAATATAAATTTACTATGTTGTGATCTCTTATATGTAATAAATATAATTACAAATATGATCACATATATTCAATGAATATCTATAGTTGAAGAATCTTGCAAACTAACAATTTGAAGAAAAAATACATTATAAATTATCAAATGTCTGAGACTAATTGTTAAGCTTTAATATTACGAATTTGTTGTGTATTTCTACCATAATTAATTACTATCGTTACTATAATCTTTTTTTAATTATTTTATCAAAATCGATCATTTATGCAAATAATATATATATGTTGTATGAATATGTAATGTGCATTATGTGAGAAAATATTTTATTAGAATCCTACTAACTTTTAATACAATAATATTAAATTAGAATTAATCTTTTTTATTTTAAAAAAAATCATTTTTAATTATATGTAATGTGAATGGAACTTAACAGTATAGGCCAAAATAAAAAATTTATGAACATTTATTTCAATAAATGTTTTCTTAATTAAAAAATTTTTTAAAAGAAATAATACAATTTTTAAGGATCATTATGTCCAAATGAGTAAAAAGTAATATAATACAATAACAAAAAAAAAAATTATAAAAAAGGAAGGATCCAATTTAATAATTTGATGGACTTCGATGTAGTTTTATTGTTTTTTAAATTTTAATATTTGGTGTTTTTAAGCCTCTTTCTATTCATTTTTAGAGTTTTTATAGGTAAAATAAAGTGCTAATAATGTACTATGTGGGTTAGGAGTGATTTGTAAATCTTATTTTATGTTATATAGAATTCTATGTAGTTAATGGATAGAAAAATAATAGAAAAACGGGATTAACTTATTTTTAGGTTTTAATAATTATTTTTAAAAAATTTCTTCAATGGTGGCTTCTTTTCCCCCCGTTAATTAGAGGTAATGTCAAATTGGCATATTAGTATTGGAGATATATTATAATATTAGTATTGTACTAATAGTATAATAGTCAATTATTATTTTTTCAAGGAACTTATGCTTTTATAAATAGTTATAAATTATTGTGAGATTCCTAAAATATGGTTTTTTCTTTAGTCGTATAGAATTGTTAACGAGTTAGATTCGGATTGAATCTTATAAATTCAAATTGAATTTTTTAAGCATCGAGCAGATCCTAACGGATCAAATTTTGATATCTTTTGGCTTTATCATTCTTTTTTTTAAAAAAAAAAATTTGAGTTACATTTTAAGTCATGCTTTAATGTCAAATAAGTTTCAACCTACATGTAAGTTTTGTTAATAGATCGAATCTTGACTCAAATTCGATATGACTGAAATTTAATTAATAGATCCGATATATAATTTTTATGATTTGAATATGTTAACTCGTTTATTAAATTGATTAGATATGGATCTATTTCGATCATATTTGATAATAATTCGATCTAAATTAATATGAATATTATTTTTAATAAATATAAACTTTTAAAAAATAATAAATAAATAATTATAATAAATAATGAAATATATGGCACTAGATTTAAATTTAGGGTTTATTTACTCTAAGTGCTAGATAACGTTTTATATTTTTTCATTTTTTTTCTCTACATTGGCGGCTATGCCTTCAAACAATTACTTGATAAGGTTTTTTCATCTCTTTTCAAGTCTCAAATTAATTTTATGAAAAAACCTTAAATATATGAAAAAATTAATTAATGAGTTGTGGCTAGTATTATACTTTTGTTTTCAATTTATAAAGTGGTGGTCCAATTAATTTTTTTGTCCATTTCAAGCTTGTTATTTGCAAAATACTAAGATTTTATACACACACACCCCAATCAAGTTGTGCCTAGAGTAGGCATTTTTATTATTTTTGTTTAATTTTGTCATACTTCTTGCCTACTTTAAATTAATTTTGACTTTTAATGTAAATTTTTATTGAGATATTTTTTTTATATATAATTATGTGATGTTTTCATTTTTTTCAATCGACATATTAAATATTATCATTACGTATTTTTTTATACATGCAACAATTGAAACTCATTTTATATCCAACCATGATTTTGAATGTAACTAACTCTTTTTCTTTAAAAATAAATTAAATAATAAATTCGATGCATATCCGCATATGATTCAAATCCGGATCAACAAATTAAATATTTGATGGATATTTGATTTTTTTTTTAGTGACGAGATATTTTTATTTTTTCAATCAATATATTAAATATTATCACAACATATTTTCTTATACGTTTGATAGTTGAAACTCATTTTATTTCGAAGTATGATTTTGAATGTAACTAACTCGTTTTCTTTGAAAATAAATTAAATAATAAATTTGATAGATATATACATCCGATTCGGATCCAAAAGGACAATTGCAAAATCTGAATTTATAGGAACTAATTTGATTCATTTATTAAACAAATCGGACTAAATTTACTAAGATCCACTTCAAATCCGACTCGTTAACAAATATCCACTCCAAATCTTACTCATTAACACCCATAACTACATGTATAAGAAAATATGTTTTGATAATATTTTATATGTCAATTTAAATAAAAAAATTAAAAATCAAAATCTCTCGTCGTTAAAAACGAACAAAATCAAATAATACTAATAGAAATTTATATTAAAGGTCAAAACTAATTTAAATTAGACAAGAAGTCTAACAAAGCTAAAATAATAATAATAAAAAAATATGTTTTAGGCACAACTTGATTGGCATAAAAGAAATCCTAGTTTTTTTACGAGAATAAGTTTGAAATAGACAAAAACTCATATTGGATGAAGATTTTATACTTTAAAACAAAATTTTTTAAAAATTAATTTGAGACTTGAAAATTATGAGAAAATTTTTTTTCATGTGATTGTTTGAAAGAATAACGAGTCAATATAGAATATAGAAAAAAAACATAAGTATAAAATATTATTTAGCATTTAAAGTAAATAAACCCTAAATCTAAACCTAGTGCCATATATATATATATTAATTTTGGATGGAATTATTATCAAATTGAATTGGGATAGATCCATAATTGATTCATTTAATAAACGAGTAAATAAATTCAATTCATTATCAAACTTGGATCATAAAAATCATATTGACATTAACAAAAAAACTAAAGTAAAATAATCAAATACTATTTACTATACTATTTGAAATATTATTCACCCAAACTCATTCATACTATTCATCAAGACTCGAAGCAATATTCATTTCATTATGCGAGTGGTATTTTTGTAATTTTTAAATATTTTAAAGATATTTATTATAAAATTTTTCGTGACATTACACTTAGTCCACCTTTTTAAACATTGCTTTTTTAGTCTGTAAATATTTTTTATTTCATTTTGTTCTTTTTTTTGTTTTATTTTGTTCACTCTAGTCCTTTCTTTCTTTCTTTTTCTATTTTTTAATTAAAAAATTTAAGGCAAAAAAATGTTTATAAAAAATAATTTACAAAATAAGTTTTTAGCTAAAAATATATTAATTTTGATTTTTTTATACTATTATAAATTTTTTAGTTTGTGAATAGAGATAAATAAATAATGTTTTGAAAATTTATGAAAAATATAAAGAATAACTAGTCAAATCCAAAATTTTGATTAAAAAATTGAATAAATTTTTATTTAGTTTTGATTTGATATATATACAACATAACACATGAAATATCAAAATGAAATAATTTTTTAAAAATAATTTAATATATTTTATAGGATTCGTAATATAGTGTGGGTGAAAAAACTAGTATTAAATCTATTTAATTATATTAGGGT